GGCGTATGATGTTGCTAAAAGGTCAGTCAATTTTTAATGAAATACATTTATTCCTCTTCAGACAAATTATATTTAAATGAGATAATGTGATTGGTGCATGCTGTCTTGTCATTTCATTGGGTTTTTGTAGATCAATGAATTAGAGAACCGTTTGAAGGGAAAGAAAGGCAGTACACCTCTGCTTGTGAAACCATCTCCAAAGGTACGGGGTATGGACATTGATGACTTTGACAAGGAAAAGCCTGCCTATTGTACAGGAACTGTCCCACTCAACAGAGTGCCACGAGGAGGGCAAGTAAAGACAAGCAAAAAAGAAGTAAGTGTTGAAATTAAATTTAAATCAAGCAGATGCTTACATCATATCTGTCAAACCAGGCAAAACAGAGTTAACATTTCATGTAATATTTTTAAAATCAAACAGAACTTGTCAATTTTTGATACTTTCCATTGTAGATATTTGTTACTTTGTGCTATTAAATAACTCTAATACACGTACGCTGCATCTGTGCACATTAAACATAAAAAAAAAATCAAGCTTAAAGTTGTTAATGGTGATTTTATGGATTATAATGTCCAATACATTTACTTGTCTATGCTTTTCAGAATGAGAAGATGTCAAGCTTACAAGATGCAGAGATGAAAAAATTCAAGGATTTGTTTCCAAATGAGCACCCTGTTAGTATATCAAGCTTTGTGCATCCATGTCTCTATGGCTCTGTGTCTCCATGTGTCAGAAATTAACAGCTTCTGTAGGATCACTTCAGAATAATTAATCCAATTTCAGCTAATTTTTGGTGGTGAATGTTGCTTCAAGGGATGGGAAAGAAGCCAGCTGATTTTGGGGTCACTAAGTTAAGATAACCAAATTATAGGAAAACGATGGATTCTTGATGCTATTTGTATCCAAACATATTTACTGTATCATGTCATGTTCAATTCTTCAATTATTATGTCCATTTTTGTTTCAGAAAACACCACTACAGAAATCATGCAATGTGCGTAAAACACCAAACAAGCCACCTGGAAAGTTTTTCAAGAACTCACCAAAAGACAGACCAAAGAAAAACAAAAAGACAAAAGGAACGGAGGAGACATCATGGTTTGATTTAGATTCTGTATTTGGATTTGGTCCAGAGGATTAGTTAATAGTTTTTGTGAATTTAAAGATCCAGTTGTATGGGAGGAGTTATGGTTCTTAGTCCAAGAAAATAACACGGGATGTGTTCAGTTTGGAAAACGTTTGAGTAATTAAGACCAAGTTGAACTTCATACTACTTCTACATATTTATTGTCTTTTGATCAGCAGTCAGCACAAACATGCAAATGCAATGACAGATAAATATAACATCTTCCTACTGAAGACAGCCTGGGTTTTATAGAAAGCATCCTACAGCATTAAAAATTCTATGTTAGCGAAGCATTGCCAAAATATTTAAATACTTTTATGAATGAACATTACTGTTGCCAGAAATTATCTTACAAGAATTAGTTGGAGTGAAAAAGTAAGTAATTAAAGTATATCAAAAGCGATTTATTTTATATACTTCAATTACTATATACTCAAAGGTGCTTTATCATCAAATATGCTCTGATTGTTATTTATTTAACATGTTGATTAAGTAAAATTTGCCAGTGAACAAATGTTTTATTCAAACTTTTGATGAATAACTTGTAATTTTGAATTATTGAATTGTTTGTTAATATTTGAATCGTTTTATGTGGGGGAAAAATGTAAAACCAGGTATGTACATAATTTTTATGATTGGTGATTCTTTAACTGCACTTGTGCATTAGAGATGTTTGTTAAGGATTGTGATATTGTTATCAGACAAAGATTATTTTAATATCTGATCTGAGATTGTTACGTATTATTTGAATACCTTCTGCTGGATAAAATTAGTTTCAACTTCAAACAAATATGTTGTTTTACACACTTATCATATGGAATTTATTATATATCAAGTGATGTGATATTTTATTATTCTGTGTCAATGTATCAGTCAAAATTATAAAAGAATCTTATTGTTGAAAATTGTATTGAAGTTGTATCATCAAAAACTTTTCTGTTGTAATAAAATAAACATACATTTTTCAAGCTACTTTTACTTTTGCCTGATTTTTCCTGGAATATTATTCATGTTATACCAAACAGTTTCTTTGCACCTGTCCTTTCTCTGAAAAGGTGTAATTCAGTTGAACACAAATCTAGGAGAATATCACATTTGTATAATTCTCCTTACATAAAGTTTTCCTGGAAAGGGTTTTAACCATACTTTAAAGGTTGTACAGTAAATATCTTTCGATGAATTTCTCTTAATAATTAAAATAAATATCTTGCATACACAACAAAATATATTTCCAATTATAACTTTGTATTGATAAAAGAAGTTTATATGAAATGGTGTTTTTTATGTGAAATTGGGATGGAATTGCTTTAGCATATTTGGGTACATATGCCAAACATCAAACAGACTGAATTAAAAAAAAAAAAAGCGTTTTTTAAGGCGTTATAAAATGTTTGGTATTATATGTACACTACCCAGAACATTAATAAATAGCAAAATTTGATATGACATGAGGCGGGAAGAGATTCTAGATACAGTTAATTGTTCGATGATAATGAGCGGATCGGTCGGGTAGTAAACACTCCAGCCTTCCACGCAGGCGGCCGGGGTTCGATCCCCGAAGTCGTCGTACGCATGGATATTCAGAGAAAGTGTTTTTTTCCTGCCCACATAACTCCAACAAACCAGGTGGAGAATAGATTGGTCTGTGCTGTAGCATTCCAGTGAGGTGGCACTATAAATGATGCCGTTGGAAACACGGTCCCAAACGGCATCATTTATAGATATAACATGTCCCAGCTCCTGCGAATTCCTCAAAATTGTATCCATTAATGTATATGCTAATTGTATTAATTGTATATCTATGTGCTGTAAAGCGCTTTAGAGTGGCTTAGGTTAGCTAGATATGGCGCTATATCAAATGCTGTATATTTAATTAATTTAATTTAATTTTAATGTGCATTATAATGACAATTTTTTTCTTTCAATATAATTAAAAATTATTAAATATTGCATATTAATGTTAATTACGGAAAAGATATACCAACCCCAGTGCAATGAACACGCATGATTTGATACATAAAATCTCATCATGACATCTTCTAATACGGTAAAAGGAGATGTTACCTGAGGCTAAGATTATAGCTACGTACAATATGGTATTAGACTGGAAAAAAAATGTTCTAAAATGCACCATCAAAAAGAATTGATAAAACTGCAATAGCAGATTAATGAAAAGTTCCATATCCTTAAAGTTAGCAGCTAAATGGATAATACTGAAAATAAACGGTAGATAATAGATTCTAGGAGTTGCAAATCGTGCAGTAGATACATATGTTGGCTCTTAAAATGTAGTTGTTCCCGATTAAAAGGAAACCGCCGATTGTGCAGGGTCCCAACCTACAAAAAATGTATGTAACCTTTTAGTTAGTATCATGTCTTGGAACACAACACGCCAATTCTTTCAAACTTCCTAGGGTATCTATTGACTAATAAAACAAATTGAATTCAGCGTGTCACACTGCTGGTTTTCGATCTGTCGTTCTGTTTAGCGTATTTGTATATTAACAAAACGCACATATTCGTAAAAAGTATAACAACGTTATATATGAATACAGTAAGACATGTCACTACAATGAACAAATGATGGCATACTATTTCAAATTGCAAGAAGGTCGAGGAGATCCAATAAAAAGAGGAAATATAAAAATTCAAATGAAAACCAGCAAACTTTTGGACATGTATTTGATTTCTAAATAAAATAGTGATTTCACGAGCTCAGGAAAACGCATCGATATTAAACAATAACGTTGGAATAGGAAGAAAAAGTTCTGGATCTGTCACTTGTGATTCATGGTTCATACAAAGGATGGCGTCATAAGCTTTCTAATGAACAAAAGCAATTCAATTTTAAATTTGTCCCATATCTGATATAGGTACTCGAACAGTATGTTTTCCGACATGTTTGACTCAATGGTCTATGCAATGTGTTTCTGAATATGCCTGGCAGACAAATTGTTGTTAAAGTTATAATAAATGGTAATCAATTAGCCTGCACTATCCTTGGGGGAATCTGCGTAGTAATTCTGTTCTTTTTACCTGCCGCAAGCTTTTATTGAAATCTTTGAAGATATCTTTGTTTGCCACATTTACATTCTTAATATTGACCTAATCTGAATGCTTTCTGCTGGTTTTTAAAAATAATGTTTGATATTTTAAGTAATTATAACATATTATTCAAAAGTGAAAAGTTTAATACCTCTTGGTGACGAAACGACAAATTTGCTGATTTCAAGAGTTTGAAGTCTTGAATTTTCGTGAGAAACTTTCAGGTGTAAGACCATTCAGCTTAGGGCTATCATTTGACACTGAAGATCCAATCATTATTACAAAATGGAACAAACCGCGTTCTATGCCCACACGACTCTAACAAGATAAACATATTTAACTCAGTTTATTGAATTCCAATAAAATACTTGACGTATCTTTCAATATAATCCTCAGGCCTGTGTCATTTTAGTTTGTCTGATGTGAAGGTTGCTAAAATATATCTGTAGTACAAATAACAAGATGGAATGACGTCCACACACTTTATTCTTTATAATATTTCTGAATTCATGTCATTTTTAATTAATTATACCTTTTCCGAAAAATATTAAACTTTTGGGTTGATTTTATTACAAAGTGGACATCAATTTAACTCAAGTGGTCTAGAAAACGGTTCAACGCCATATAATTGTGGGGATTTTATTATTTTGAACGACTGGTAAAGAATTAATTGATTTCACAGACACGACCCACCCCTGTCATTTTATGTTCCGAACTTCTATTAACTATGGCAGTAAAAGTCCAAATACTCATTGTGTAACACAATAACATTTAATTCTAGACAAATGTGAAGCCGAGATCTGAGAACAGACCGTGCCCCTTCCAAGGTTAGAGAGCAGTCTGGTGGTTGCAGTTCAACTGTTTCCACCGAAGCACTGTCAGTTTTTTAGCCAAAATGAATTCATGTTGCCATACTTTGATGGTATATATGATAGCTGTTAAAAGTGTGTTATGTGAAACTGTTTTTAGTCTGTACTTTGGTTTGCTGCTTCATTTATAAGTTTGAAATATATGAAGCATTTAAGGAAGTATTTTATATGATATATCTTCTTTTCACGATTAACTGATCTGTCTCAAAAGGGAATAGTTCAAACCCGAGCAGCGATATTGACCATCGTTCAGAAACCGGGCAGGTGCTAGTTTCGATTTAACAGAATCAGATTGTCAGGATTGTACGTGCCAATTACGATACAATTTCACAATAGATGCCAGCTTTCTAGAAAAATAAAGCGAGGCTGATCATAAAACTAAACCTTTTCTCTCTATAGAAGTTCGACTCTTTAATCAATAACGCCATCAAATGACATATTTACTTATTGGTTAAATACAGCCACCACAAGAAGTGGGTTATAATTAGTGTCCAATTATGTTCATTTTATATGTAACTGCGCTAGATTAATTGGCATATGATATAGAATTTCTAACCTGTTTATTAGTTCACTATACACTGGCTTTATAGTTGAAATTATTTCCTTAAACTTTTATTTAGTTGATAATATTTATTAAAAAAAAAATGATTCTGAGTCTTTTTCTTTTTTTCCCCCAATCTGTCTAAATAATAATATTTGAAGACAAAATGCAGGACTGATTGAATATTATGAGGGAGGGGGGGGGGGGGGGGGGGGG